TTACTAAAACTCAATTAATACTAAAAAATTAAAAGTTTAATTATAAGCAAAAAATTTGATAAAAATTATAAATTTTATAAGATTTTCAAAAAAGATACAATTATTATAATATACAAGTTTACTTATAATACCAAAGTTAATTTAATTAATAAAAAAAATTTTTTCTTATGATGCTAATGTATATATTATTATTTTAATTTTGAAAAAGTCAATCATTTTTGCTAGGTAAGTATACTCATAAACTTAGACTTTTACGTAAGACAGCTATCTTTATAGTTAAATATTATCAGTCTTATTATCAGATTCTTACTAATATTTTAAAAGAATTTGAAGATATGTAAATAAAATTTCAAGTTATGATTAGTCAATTAAATATTATTATATAATTTTATATAATATTTGTGATGCTGAAAATTTTATTATTACTATTAAAATTAAAATTACAATATTTTTAACTACAAAAATCTTTTATATAAAATTAAAAAAATATATATTGTATTAAAGATTATATTAAGAGTTATCAAATAATATATTTTTTTAATACTTTTATAATTAATTAAATTTCTTTATATTTTAAAGTTGCTAATATATATTATAAGTAATTAAACCATTTATATCATAATTTACTTATAAATTATTTGTGTTACCTTAATTTTAGATTAATATTATATAGATTTATATATATTCTATAAATGCACATCCTCTTTAAATATACTCTTATACTTAATTCTAAAGAAAGAATATTTATAGAGAATTAACTATAATAAATAAAATGTATGATAAAGTGTAATTATAAAATAGCTAAAATATATAACATTTTTTTTTAATAGAATAGAGTTAATTATTATTATAATAAATATAATAAAAAAAATTATATTTATAATTTTTTATTGTAAAACTATATAAGTAACAAACAGTTAATAAAAAAAAAGGAAAATTTAAATTTTGATATTTAACTAATTACAAATTATATGCTCAAAATTAGTTAAAATTAAAATTCAGATTTCACTTTAATTATTGATACCTTTTTATATATATTTTTTAAAAGCTGATTAAAATAAACTATCTAGCTTAGAAGTTTTTCTTTTATTTTTTGAAAACATAACTCATAAACATTTATTATTATATTAAAAATAGTTGAAAGTTTATTAGAGGTAATTATATTGAAACTAAAGATTTTGATTGTTTTGTCTTTATTATTTATATAAAAGAATAGATTAATTAGTTAGTTTATTATTTAATCTTAAGTTACTAAACATATTCTTAACATTAAAGATGATTTTTTATTTTTATATTATCAATATAATCACAATATTTTTAAAAAATTGTAAAAGTTATAGGTAATAATAAAGCATTTTTACTTTGTCTTACCTATTTTAAAATTATTTTTTTTTAAGAAAAAAAGTTTAAAAATTTACAATCATTTTAAATAAATGATGAAAGTTAGTAAAAAATAAATGAGTTTTTGGATAAAATATTTATAATCAAACAAAGTAATTAAAGAATTCTTAGGATTGTGAGAATTTCCTTCTGCAGAAAATAATAAATAATAGGATAAACTAATGGAAAAGGTCAAATCTCTATGCTTTTGACAGGTTTTTAATATAAATACTGTTATATATATATATATATTTATTTATTTGCATGATTAGATCAGCCAATCATATAAAAATTTACGTCACGTTAATAATGCAAATTTAACGCGTAAAAAGTCTCGTGTATCTAGTATATATCTAGTATAAAAAAAATATAACTTTTTTTTCGGTTTTTTTTTTTTTTTATTATAAACTTGAAATTTATCCGATACATATTATGTCACAAGTTACTCGACAAGAGTCAATATTTCATAGCCTTACTTCTGAAGCTGGTTTAAAGTTGAAAGGCATTGGAGAAGGACCACATGAATTAGGCAAGCTATTAAAAAGTGGTGTTCAATCTTAGTAACGAGTTCGCCAAAGGAATGACATACATTTCTTTATAAAGTTTATCATAAGAAATTAATCCTTTCTTTATTTTGATGAATATATTAAATAGAAATTGAGCCTTCAGCTTTTCGACGCGAACTTAGTCAAAAAATTTTATCTCATCCGCAGTATCCGGATCCAATTATTAATCAATTTTTAGAAGTATTGCAAGAGCTATTTGATGAAGATCCTGTACAATTTATTGCATGCTTACAACCTCTTTCGGTGAATGGTCAATCAAGATTGTAAGTTTAAATCAAAAATCATTTTTTCATCCTTTATTATTTTTATTTATCAATAATTAAATCAAAAAAAAAAAAAAATCTTGTCGAAATTAATTAGCGGTACCACGGCAGATAGTTTGGTTAGAATTCTATTGGGCATCGATTTTATTCAATCGAACTTAATTGATCAATTACTGGAGAGATTACCAACATTCATTTCAGACTCAGATAATGATAATGTTGAATCTCCAATTCCCCGACTAATACTACAACAATTGAAATGGCTGGAATATACGGTTAATCCTCTTCGATTGGTAGATAAGATATTGGAGGTAAGGATAAAAATATAATTTGGGAAATGTTGTATTTTATTCAATAGATTTTTTATTTTTTAAAATGCATCTATTTAAATTACCTTAAAGATGATTCCCATCACTCCTTTAGGTATTCAAAGAGAAATTATAACAAGTTTACCTGAAATCATTAATGATTCGGAACAGAATGTAAATCTATCTAACATATATATAATCATGTAATATTACACGTCCTGATATAAATTAAATTCTCGACATATAACAACACCTTCCTTTAGACGGTTATCCAAGCTCTGATAGAACTGATCGATCAAAACCATCGGTTAATAGTCCCAATTCTTGATGCTCTTTCCAACTTTACAGTTCAAGGAGATTATATGAATAACGTTCGGGAAACGGTCTTTGATCGACTCGATTCAGCAGACTTGGAAGATTTGCCTCTTGTTGTCAAATTCTTGCTTCAGACAGCTACCTCTGAAGATGCTAATGAAGTATGTTTTCATTTTTGTCACTCGTGTTTTCATATCATTATTAAAAGAATTGAATATTAATGAATTACCTTTATAGATCGTGAGGCAAATTAGAGAAAAAGTCGATTTTCGATCAATTGGGAGATTACAAAATGAAGCCAGTCAATCGAAGCGTAATCAGAAAAAGAAAAAAGAGAACATTCCCGAATCCTTAATTCTTGATTCAATCAAAAATGGAATTCAATTTCATAAATTCGTTATGGACGCATGGATTAAAGTCATTAACGATGTTAAAGTGCCGGTACACGATTTTTGACTTAAAAGATTTAAGATTTGTTGAGGAGTATTAATTGATTTTTATTTCCCTTCATTAGGCAAATCACATGATTATTGACATATTAATTTTGCTGATCATGCATTCCATTCCGGGTATAAAAAAAAAAGTTGAAAATATCTTTCGTAAAAAAATTGAAAGTGGTTTATTCACCAGAAAACTTTTGGAAGAAACCATCGCGTGTCATTACGAAGGCTTGCAAGGATATTTTAATAATATTATTTCACTATCAGAAAGTCTTCTTCGATCCAGTCAACAACAAGCAACGTTAGCACGGGCAGCTTGTTCACTATATCATAGTACATTCATAGTATTCGAAACTTATGAACAACAAGAGATTGTAGTCTCATTAGTAACGCATATAGGGAGTGGCTCAAATACTGAGACAGATTCTGCGTTATCGGTGCTTTCACATCTTGCTGAAGCGACTCTCGCAAAATTAAGTCGATTCGCAATTTTTGTGAAAGGGATCTTAGATTATTTGGATAATTTATCAGTGGATCAGATAAGAATACTATTCGACGTGTTAAGTAAACTAGTATATGAGGTAAAGACTCAATATTTTAATGTAACAAGCATGAATCCGGTTAACTAATTTAGATTAAAATTGCTGAAGGATGCTAACTATGAGGATGGTAGCAGTAGTTTGCTTTCCGAATTTTCAATTGTTATTCAGAAACAATTGTCGAATTCTAGCGAAAAATATAAACAAATTGGAGTCATTGGAACTTTAGCTTTAGTGAAAACTCTGGGTGCTAAAGAATTGAGTTCAAATGATGGTAACTCCAATTATTTTCGGAAAAGTCTTTATTTTACACGTTCTTTTTAAATAATTAATTGAAATTTTGAAACGTTTTTAACAGCTTCAAAAAGGAACTTGCAAAATCCTTTCTTAAATGTGATACAAGAAAATCTTACAAAGATTGAACGACATTGTGCAAGATCAATGGTAAAGTTTATAATTAATTGACTTACATGTATTTAATATTTCACCTTTGAAACTTACTTTATATCCTTCAAGGCTTGTCTTGCCTTTGCGTATGATGAGCTTGCCTATTATGTTACTCGTGATCTTTTAGATAAAGAACTTGTTAATTGGATCAATGAGAATTTGGCTTCCCCATTTCAAGATTTATTTATATTAGATAATGATGATGTATCAGTTCATATTAAGGAATCTTATCATTTTCCAAGGATTTCTATCGAACCTTGGATGAACTTAGATGTAAGAAAAAATTCTTTTTTTATTTAATTATATTATTTTAAAATTAATTTTCTTTTAAATTTGAAAAAAATTAGGGTGAATTAGTTAACAATATATATCCATTATTATGTGAACCTTATATATCCGCGGATGTACGTACCAATCTTGGTATAAAACGCGATTGGATAATATGCTCTTGTTCAATGTTTAAATTATGGCAAGCATGTGAAAAGGCCAGTAATAAAGGAGCATTAGAAAATATCGATGCTTTATTGGGTATGGGAATTCTCATGTACGAAAAACAGACAGCCGACGTAAGTGCACGAATTTTTCGTTGTATTTAATCCTTTAAATATTTTAAGACTATTTATAATTTTATTCTTCTAGCATATGAAAAGTAATAATTATACGAAATTAATGTTCGAAACTACCTGTAACTCGTTATTTTACGCAATTAACTGGTGAGTCATTAACATACAAAAAGTGTTTTTATATTGTCCGATTTTTATAAATTAAATACGTTACCATTAGGTTTCGAGAGATCGTTAACGCATTTTGGGGCCAGCATGACTTTGATAATGTGACTTGTAGTAAGTTTAACATTGTATCATTCATACTCAAATTATCAATTTTTGTAATGAAGCCTAATTAAATTTTATTGAATTGATCAGAGAAAGTTATAACAAGGCTACAGAATATAAATGAATTGGAGAATTTATTGACCGAGTTATTAGAAGTAGCTCCAACCTTTCAGCCCTTTGGATTTGGAGTTCCTACACAAAAATCGGTTACAAAAATTAGAGCAGTTTCCATACCAGTTAATTCTTCCCAAAGAAATCTTATTAGAGTAGGTAAGACGGCAAGGCGATCAGCTATTAGTAAAGGAAAGATATTAAGTGCTCGTAGGATTGAAGAACAAGAAGAAGAAGAGCGGAGCAAATCCTCTAGTGATTCTGGTTCCCAATTCACATGTGCAGCAGATTTAAGGCCTTTGATGCGCGAATTGGAAATAGAAATATTTAGCATTCTAAAGTTTGGAGAATTCAAAAAACCTCGAGATGATGATGATGATAATGATAATGATGAGGCCAACAAAGATGAACTTAAAGATAAGGAACCTAAGGAAGGCTCCGATGATATAATTCGATTACAACCAAAGGAGATTATTTACCTTCTTGAAGATCTGGATCGAAAGCTTGAGCACAAATTATCTGCACCAATAACAAATATACCTTTTTTTGCCAAAAAGTTGAAAAAGAACGAGATTAATACAAAATCCAAGGGATTTAGCTTAATTTCGCGACAATCTGCGTTAGAGATTGTCAATACAGTCTCTGAAAAATATTTACCGATTCTTTTAAATCAATTTGAATCTATATGCGACTTACTAGACCCAGATAATGACGTCTTATTGGAGAAAGATGAGGAAAATGAAGCCAAACGGTGTCTTGAATTATTACTAGAAATCATGCTTCGACTAGTTTCATGGTCTGATTTAAAAAGTCCGGATAATGTACACACGTTACTCAATGTTTTGAATCAAATTTCTTCAAGGGGCGATTCATCTTCTGAATCCACGACGTCATTGACACAACACGAAATTCTTCAAATTTCTACCAAGGACGCATTTAATTATTTACTTAAATTTTCATCAAAACTTCCAACTGCAAATTTGGCAATTTTGTTCCATAAAATACTTTGCAAGATTAATGAATTTTCACCTGATACAAATGAACTGTCTGCTAAATCTGGAGATATCGCACGTTATTTCGCAACTTATCAATGGCAGGATCGAAAACAAATGAAACCTGCTTCAATCGTATATCTTATACAACAAGACATTCATTATTCAATAGATAAAATAGAGAGAATCAAATATTATGCCGATTTGGTTCTTCCCTCTCTTGAAAATTGTGAGGAGGAAGTATTGCAAGCAAATCCATTATTTAGTAAGGATACTTTCCAGCATTTTTATAAGGCCTTATCTATAGAGTTGATTGAAGCTTTACGGGAGTTTGAGATGAACAAGACTACGGAAGAAATTCTGGTACAATTTACCAACATGGTTTATTGTTGGCAAAAGTTAGTTTCTTTTATAAAGAAAAATCATAAGCGGACTATACTCTCCGTGATATTAAGATATGGTCGGGGATTTATTGACTTGTTTGTTAAAAAAATGTTACCATTCATGGATGAAAGTTTCAAGTTACATCGAGAAACTATATTGGTAATTTTTAAAGACTTCCAAAGTGCAACTCGAAATATTCAAACACTTTGCACTCATGTGAAGGTGGTTAAAGATACTATGTTGGCGGCAATGGTTCCAGCTGTAAAGAAATCTTTAGAAATAGTAATTTACCAAGTTAAAGCTATGCTGCAGCATAATGAACTCCCTCCTGAAGCATTTTTCATGGGAGCTCTTAAATGCCGTGATCTTGAAGGAAATGTAATTGATCCTGATATGAAGACAGATGAGAATACAAGAGACGAAGTGAATTCGGTGTTAAATGATGACGATGATGATGACGATGATGGGGACGATGATGATGTAGAACAAATGGATGATGAAGAAAAGCAAAATGAAAACGACAATGTAAGTGAAAATGCGTCAATAACTTCGAGAAGATCTACTGAAAAAAGTCGTGATGAGAATAGCACAAAGAAAACAACTCCTTCACAATCGGATGATGTAGAAATGGGAGATGGTTCTTCATTTGAAAAGAATGAAAGTCATAAATCTGATGAAGAAATGGATAATGTGTCAGTCGCAAAAGCTGATTCAATAAATTCCGATGATGAACAGTACATAATTGACCTCTTAGATGATTATAATGAGGAAAAAGAATTAGGGAGCATTAGCAAAAAGGGTAGCAAGCACGTTTTGTATTCAGCGGAAGAAGATAATAATGTCGATGAGAATGAAGATTCCGAAAGTAATAATAATAATAGTCGGAAAAAATCACGAACATCAAATTCCAAATCAACACGACGACCAAGGAAAAACAGTTAAATAAATAAATTAAATTTCATCGTTTTATTTGTTACACAATTCATATTTAGAAAAGTCATTCGTCACGTGCTATATGTTACATTTCAATTTATTCAATAATAACCTTGCCTCCTCTGAAACGAAACTCAACTCCGATCCCTTTATAAAAAATAAAATTAATAAAAATTAAAAAATAAAAAAAAAAATAAAAAAAATTTACTTTTCTCTTGTAAAAAATTTAACTTCTCAGTATTTTTAGCATGACTTTGTTAAGACCTAAGGTTTTGATTTTTGTACTTGTTGCTACAATATTCCTTCTAATATTTTGGCCAACAAGTTATCAACACAATCAATGTACGGACAAAGGTTCACAAGACATTTTTCCAATATTTAATAATAATAATTCACCGGGACCAGTTATTGATGCAATTAGAACAACGACCATAACTGATACAAAAGGAACGCAAAAAGAATATTTAAATGCTAAGGGATACATTACATTCCTTCATATAATTCGTAAGCAACATAAGACAGCGATAGGATCGTTAACACGTGCTGCGGATTTGGCTGTAGCAAATGACACAGTATATTCCGTCACTTTAAAACCACAAAAACCACCATCAGGGGATATACATGATTATATGTCATTAGGAAGATATTTTTGGCCAGATCCAACCAAACCTGACGGTTTACCTTATATACGTAAAGATGGATATGTCAACCCAGAATTTTTCACCGTATTAGATTATGTCTATATGCGAAAAATGTTTAGGGATGTACAAGATTTAGGATTTGCATATTTTTTTACCAGGAATGAAACTTATGTAGAAAAAGCGATGTATCGTATAAAAGAATGGTTTTTGGATGAAGAGACCAAGATGAACCCCAATTTAAATTATGCAGGTTTTAGAAAAGGTCAAGTTATGGGATGGAGGACTGGAGTTTTAGATTTTCATCAAGTATTTAGAATGTTACAAGCCATACCACTTATGAGATTTTCAAATAAATGGGATCCAAGTATAGAGGAAGGGTTAAAAGAGTGGTTATCAGAGTATTACGTTTGGTTCACTACATCTAAATTGGGTAGAGGGGAAAGTAAAACCAAGAATAATCATGGTACATTTTATGATGTACAAGCATTATTTTTATTGGATTACCTTGGTAGATACGAAGAGGCGAAATCTTTCATAAAAACGTCGATGGAGAATCGGGTAAATAATGGTATCTTACCAACGGGACAACAACCACATGAAACTGATAGACCAACTTCATGGTTTTATTCAATCTTTAATTTACAAGGTTTATTCATGTTGGCCGAAAGAGCTGATCATTATGATTATGATGCTTGGAATTATGTTGGTCCTGAAGGTCAAAGTATACGTAAGGCTGTTGACTTTTTATTACCTTTTGCTTTAAATGAGGGTGAGGGTTGGCCTGTAACGAATATTAAAGGTTTTGAAGTGAACGATTATGTTAAAATTTTAGAACTATCTTATGTTATTTGGGGTGATGAAAAATATTTAAACGCTATTGAAGAATTAAGACCAAAAGCCAAAGCTGAACAAGCTGCCGGTCTTAAATTAGCTAAATGGGAGGATAATTATCTTTGTGATTTGGCTTTATTGACAAATCGTTTACTTTGGACTTGTTTGTATTAATAATTATTTAGTTAGTTAGATTTGATTTTTTTTTTTTTCATTTTAATAATTTGAGTTCATGTCATCAACAATAATAAAAGTTCGTAGATATCGCTCATTGAGGAATGCTGTAAAAAAAAAAAAAAAAAAAAATTTACTGATATTGTATTAAAAAAAAAATTTTTTAAAAATAAATAACAACAGCATTTCATTTAAAAATTTTTGTGGAGTTGAGATAAGCTTCTCACCATAATGTTTCAAATTCGAAATGTTTTTGGGCATACACTTCTTTTTATTGAGTTTTTAATAAGAAATATTTATTTCTAACATTAATTATGACATCGAAATGATTAATTTAAAAAAAAAATTTTTTCTTTTATAAATTACATTCTAAGTAAGTATTTCTATTATCTCAGTTAAATAATGTTTATCACATAAAATTGATTGTGCATACATTAGGTAACCATTATTGTCCGACGAAACTAAGTAGAGAAAAAAAATTATGGAAGACAAGTCATCAGCTAATTTAGATATATAATTTTACTTATTGATCTTCATCAACTTCTTCGACTTCCTCGCCTTCGTCATCACTACTTTCATGAGCCGTGGTAGTTTGTCTTTCATCATCCCCGTCTGCACCTTCATCAGCAAAACTTGCTAAACCTCGTCGAAGTGTAGTATTAGGGCTTGTTATCACATTATTATGTTGTTCTGTTATACTCATGTTTGAACTAGACTCTTCACCTTCTTCCTCTACCCTCTTAAACTTGTTAACAATGTTACTAACTCCAGCGGAAGTTGCTACACTTGCTGCGGCTGTCGAAGCGGATGCAGCAAGGCGTTGTTTATTCTCTGCCTCCCTTTTCATCTTTTCGTGATGTTTTAATTGTTTATTCCATAGTTTATGATACACTCCTTCTTTATGCATTAACTCCAAGTGAGATCCTATAAATTGATACGAACCGATAAGTAAACTATTGAAATTCACGCAACAAATTTACTCATTTACCTCTTTCAACGATTTCGCCACCCTGTAGTACGAGGATTTGGTCAGCGTGTACAATTGTTGAAAGGCGATGAGCTAAAAGTATTGAAATAGTAAATATATTTATTGTTTAGATCAGTTGGGTTGAAAAGAAAAAAAAAATTTATTTTATTTTATTTTACCAATTATCAATGTTGTTCGATTAACAGTCATCCGACGTAATGATTTTTGTATATGCCTCTCGGTATGAGTATCAAGAGCAGACGTCGCTTCATCAAGTAACACTATTTGTGGGTTCTATATAATACATATAAGGTTAGTCTTTTTATTCGGTTCAAATGCTCAGAAACTTAATAGGATTACCTTTAGCAATGTTCTTGCAATTGCCTATATAATTAATTAAATTTCACCTTAGTATTGTGTCCGTTAACGGTTAAATATACTATAAATAAATGAATTAAAAATGAACGTACGACTCTTTGCTTCTCTCCACCACTTAGTCTCAATCCCCTTTCACCAACTTTGGTATCATAGCCTTCAGGGAAACCTAAAATTTTATCATGAATTTGAGCTGCCTCTGCAGCTTCTTCCACTTGCTTATCAGTCGCACCCATTTTACCATAACGAATATTATATCTTATTGTATCATTGAATAATACTGTATCCTATAATTAATTATATGAAAGTTTGACATTGATATATTTATAAATATGAACAAAAAACCCCCTTTTAATAAATAAGGAAATTCTTACTTGAGGTACGATTCCAATACAACTTCTTAAATCCCTTTGTCGAACGTGTCTGATATCTTGTCCGTCAACAAGAATACGACCACTTTGCACATCGTAAAACCTAAATAAGAGACGAAGTATTGTCGATTTCCCGCCACCAGATGGGCCAACTAAAGCTACGGTAGAACCACTTGGAATAGCAAAAGAAATGTTTGTAAGAGTTGGAACTCTCGGATCATAATGGAAAGATACATTGTCAAAGACAACTTCTCCTTTCTGAACATTTAAAGATTCTGCATGAGGCAAATCTTTAACTTCTGGAAGTTCTTGGAGTAAATCAAGCATCTTCTCCATATCTACAAAATTTTTCTGAATTACTCGATAATAATTTCCAAACCAATTAAGTGGCCCATATAATTGTATAATATAGGTCAAATACATGATAAAATCTCCTACGCTCATTTCACCCCTTCTCACTCGTGAAGCGCATAAGAGGCAACCAGCCAAGAGTCCCAACTGAATTACAACGTTTTGAGTCGTATTAAGTATATACAAAGTTACATTGGACTTTTGGTCAGCGAGTTGATAAGATCGAATCGCATCCGAATATTGTTTAACTAAGAAATTATTATGTTAACACACATATGAATACCACAAATAATTCTTATTGAATTGTAAATATTTTATCACCTTCAAATGGTTCTGCGGCATATAACTTGACAGTTTCATAATTTAATAATGAATCGACTATTATGATAATTGAATAAGTAAGTTAATTGTCACAATAACACAGGTAAGGATAAAAATATGTCATCAAGCTTGATAATGATAATATCTAAGCTGAATCGACAACACACCTGCCTTCCCTTCCATAGCATTGTCCAACAGATTTGTTAGTCTTCTATATTTAGTTCTCCACTCTGTCATGATAATAGTAGATACTAAATATAAAGACATAGTCATAAACACGATCATTCCAAAGAAAATGTCAAAAGCATATGTAAAGTAAACCACGGCAATTGCTATGTCAACAAGCGTAGGGATGACATCAAAAAGAACCGATGAAAGGATTGATACAATTGAGGAAACACCACGGTCTATACAAGAAATATATAGTATGTATTAGGAAAAGGCAAATAAGAGTGTAATTTATGAAGTACTAATAAATACCTTGAACCCTTAATATTTCTCCAGTTTTACGGTTCAGGTGAAATCTCAAAGAAAGGTTTAACAAGTGTTCAAACATTTTGACAGAGATTTCACGCGTTGTGAACTATAAAATAAGTTCTATTAAGGTTACAATCTAAAAATTTACTTTTATATTATGATATAAAATATGATGTGAGTTATTATTACCTGACCAACAGGAATCCACAAGAAGTTTTGTAACGTGCTTATTAGACCTACATTTCCTTGTAAGAACCTAAGCCCAACAAAAAATAATATTTCTTTCCAAACAAATTCTCCACTTTTCAAACCCTCGACTAATACTTTATTCTGGTAAGGCAATAACACATTTACAATTCGACCGGCGACCAAGAGTAATATACAAATAAGGATCAGGATTTGTAATTTCATATCATGTGATGGCCACACAAATGGTAATAATTTTTTCGATTTTGATAAAAATTCGCCAATTTTTTTTGGTGGAGCATATTTAGGATCATCTGCCATTGAAATAGGATTTAGAAACTTTGATGTTAGAAGCGGACTTTCAACATCTGCATCTGCAGATGGGGTATCAATATCTTCATTTATTGTTGTTGTATCATCATCTACGGGCATATAATGATTACTATGATAGTTTAAATCACTATATCCATTAGCTTCATTAGAACGTCTCCAAAGGAAAGTTAATGTAATAGCAAACAGAACCAATATTAAATGAATCGCATATTGAATAAGGTAAATTGACATTAAGATCCAGCTCTGGGCCCAATCAATTTGATCATCATCATCATGCGGATTTGTAATATACATTAAGCGATTATAAAGCTCAAAGTTTGATAGAACAAAGGCCAAATACCAATATCCTTGAGTAAAATAACTCCATCTTTGACCTTCATTTCTTTCGCACGCTACAAAACTATAATTTGATATCCATGCAACTAATCTTAAGAGTGCTGAAGTGATAAGATAAGACGGTATACTTGTCTCGACAAGTTCTTTTTCAGCAAATATAAACATAATATGCAATGCGTTTAAAATTGCTAATACACCCACTAAAACATGTATAGTATTTACTATACTTTTGAAAGAATCCGGATATCCAATATATTCCGGACGCGTGTGATCAATATCTTCATCTTCATCTGAACATGATAAATAAATAAATCGATAATCTTTTACAGTACAAAGGATAATGCTACATAAAAAAAAGAGATGTTCGTACCATGAACAAAGTAGGAGTTGTCGCGTTTCGGTTTATTTCGCAAATATGCCCATCGTATAATTCCAAACACTACCATGTAGATAAGCAAAGTGCTCGCTACCAGAGTATGTAAACCACATGATGTTATTCGACCGTTATGATCTATTATTGGAGAACAATAGCGAGGTTGTTCTGATATTATAATATTAACCATGGAATTACTATTATTAGTTTTTTTTATATTTTATTTTTTTTTATATAAAAGAAATAAAGTAAGACTTGAGAAAGTCTTTCAAGATGTAAAGATTGTAATTTTCTGGAGCTTTATTTAAATTTTTATTTTTTTTACGCGACGTTCAACGTCTATGAATAAATTGCTCAACTAACAATTTTCTGAGAAAATCAATATTTATAGGTGATCCGACAAAGCTACACGGAAAGCCAAAAAAGGGAGATTTCTATATAATTCGGAGCCGTCGATTTTGTTCAACCTGGACGACACATATAAGATTAGAAAATTTCTCTGATAATGCAGTAATATGATGAAAACTTGTATAAAGTTTGATCCTTAAAGCACGAAAATGCAAATGAAGCCCTTAATAAATAAAATTCCGCCTTCATTGCATATCTAGCATTTATTTTAGCAATTGATCATCATCTTTCGTCGGAAACCGAAATTGATAGAGCCCAATTACAAAATAAATATTTTTTAAACAATGGGTTAAAAGGTTACATAATAGAAAATAACTTGAATTAAAAAGGTAAAGAACATTCATTATAAGACTCTAAAAAAAAATTTTCTGTTCAATATTTTTAATATAAAATAATCTTATTAAAATCAAGTTTTAATATAAAATATTTCTTTAAATGATAAAGATTTTCAAAAATCAATAATATTTTTTACATTAGAACTACTAAAGAATTTTCTTTTCTTCTCTTATCTTATTTATTAAATCATATAATTACAAATAAATTTATATTAATCTGCTCTTTTTTTTTTTTTTTAATATAATATTATATATATTTAATTCTTTTTTTAATTTTTAAAAATAATTGTCATATTAATAACTATTTATATTACTTTAAATTTTTTTATAAAATTTATATTCATAATAATAATTATCTTTTTCATAAAATTAAAATATTTTTTATATATTTCAATTTTTTTAAATTTAAATTTTTTTATTTTTTATATTTAATTATTAATATTAAATATATTAATAAAAATTTTATTTATATAATTTTTACAAAAATAAAAGTTATTCTTTTAATAATAAAATTAATTTTTAATTAAACAATTAAAATATAATATTTATTTTAATTTTATATAATATTTATTATAATAATAAATTTATTCAAGATTATTCATTATTAACTTAAACTAAAGTTTTACATATATTATTTTAACTTTTTAAATTTATTAATAAACTAATATATTAAAAGTTTAAATTAAACCATTTTTTTAAGTTATTTTCAATTTTAATAATTTAAAAAAATGATACTTAAAATATTTTTTTGCAAATATATTATATTTTAAATATAATCTGAAATAAAAAGATTTTAATTACATTTAAAAATATAT